TCACCTCAGCCTCCCAAAGGCGCGGGATTACAGGCTGAGCCACCGAGCCCAGCTGGAAAACTCCTATTAGCCCCATCCTGGGGAGACCTGCCTGATCAATCACATTTTTGTGACGATCTCAGGCCAGGTCAAATAGAAGTAGTTCTTGGCGTACATGAACATCATTAAAATAACAGCAAAAGGCAGGCTCGGTGGCTCAGCCTGTAATCCCAGCACTTTGGGAGGCCGAGACGAGTGGATTGCCTGAGCCCGTGGGTTCGAGACCAGCCTGGGCAACTTTGGCGAGACCTCGTCTCTACAATAAATTAAAAAATTAGCCAGACGTGGTCACGTATGCCATAGTTCCGGCTATTTGAAAGGTTGAGGTAGAAGGATTGCCTGAGCCCAGCAGGTAGGTGCTGGGGTGGCCATGAGCATGCCACTGCACTCCAGCCTGGGTGACAGGGTAAGACTCCAACTCATAAATAAATAAATAACAGTAAAAAATGCCCGCATAGAAGCATTTCTCAAATGACACACCAGCATTCCTGGGCTAACCCCATTTGTTTTCCATGAGCATCCAGGACCTGGTGCCTCCAAGGGAGCTCAGCTTTGCACTGAAGATGCTCATGGCTGCTGCCTCCAGAGGGCACCAAGGGCCCTAGCTTCTGCTTGCTCCTGCCCAATTTGGAACATAGGCATTTCCAGAACCATGTGCCGTGTCTAGGTGCTGGCTACATGGAATGGCAATCCCAGAATACCCAGCCCAGAACACCAGAATTCCTACTCTTGTGGAAGTTGATACAAGGAAAAATGTGAACCAGGTAGTTGGCCAAGCCTCAGGTCCTTTGTCCCAAGGACAAAAACTCAGAGAGGTGTTGACAACCCTGCAAGGGGCCAGAACTTGTGACCTAGACTAACACAGTATCCAAACTGATCCCCTGGGATCCTATTCTGGCACTAGAGCTGGAGACTTACGTAAATTGCGCCTAGTTGGGTTCTATCGTTATCAAATAACTGGTAGTAATGTTGAATGAAGCTGGATCCAATCTGCTCCCAAATTGGCTTGTCTCCCATTCTGGAGCGTCACCCGGCCTTGTTGAGACCTGCAAGACCAGCAAGACAGGGAGGGAAGCATTGGTACCACAAAAGCAGGAGGTGACCAGTCACTGACCCCTATCCCCTCCCTGGCCCTCTAGAGCAGGGAGTCTTTTGCTGAGGTCTGTTTTCTCAGGGAATATGGAGAGGCCCTGGGGAACTGATAGGAGACCCCTCCCAAGCCAGACCAGTGCTGGGAGCCCAGAGGTGGTCCAAACTCAGCCTTTCCTTTGAGGAGCTATTGGTTGATGAGACAGAGGGGTGCCAGAGTCATGGAGCATACAGGAGGGGCGCTGAGGGTGGAGCCAGTACTAAGAAAGGTCAAAGCAGGCCCTTCAATGCCCAATAATGGAAGTGGTCTTTAAGGAAGAACTAAGCAGCCAGGCTTGGTGGCTCAGCCTGTAATCCCAGTGCTTTGGGAGGCCGAGGTGAGTGGATTGCCTGAGCCTGCGGGTTCGAGACCCGCCTGGGCAACTTGGCGAGACCTCATCTCTACTAATAAATC